TTTTGAAAAAGAGGGGTTACTTTCTTGTTGTGTTATACATTGGTTCTTTTATTGGATATTAGTCTTTTCCTCTTTCGTTCAACCACCACGTTTTACATGCCATCGCATTTAACAGTTTTAATGAAAATATAAGTCGATTTTTTCAACAATTATTTAAGAATTATTTAAGAATTATTTAACGCTCAAAATGTCGATTTTCTAAGAATCACGAGGCTCAAAAAAAAAGTACGATTCTTATAAAAAAAAAGTGTGTAATATTATATTTATATTGATGTAAATGACATTGGTTTTATTGGGACCCATGTTCTCTATCCTTGAACCCAAAATACTACCGTCACCACTTTTAAATGAGGGCCTATCCGACTAGCCGGGTAGCCTGACCGCCACAGCCACAGGTTGCCAAACTAAAATCAAAATGCTACATATCGATCTTTCAAGTTTCGCATTTGGTATTTTCATGTGTGACCGTTTCTTTGAGCTACTGCAAAACAGCGTCAGTGTCACTGCGACCGTCACTGTGAGTGTGAGACTGTGACTGTGAGTGTGTGAATGAGGCCTGGCGGTGCCAGTGCCAGTGCCAGCTGATACAAGATAAAACAGCATGTCTGAATATGCTTTCAACCCAGTACCTTGGTGCAACTGTATTTGCTGCATTTTTCTTTTTTCTCTTTTTCTTAAGCTGCTTATTATCTGCAGTACTACTACTACTACTACTTGGTGCAACTGTATTTGCTGCATTTTTCTTTTTTCTCTTTTTCTTAAGCTGCTTATTATCTGCAGTACTACTACTACTAGATAAATATCGCTGTAAATATTCTTGCTTGCTGACTGACGCCATGTTTGTTTATAAGGAATGATGAGAAAAGGCGCTGTGATAATAATGTAATTTACAAAATAATATATTTATTAAATTGAATTACACTTAACATTAACTATTAAACAAAATATAGAATATATGTATCATATGTTTGGTCTGCGATTAGTAAAACTAAGAAAAATCATATGGGCAACGTGGTGGTCGAGGTAAAAAGTAAAGATGGCTGCGCCCACTGCCAGCGAGATTGTTTCGTAATAAATATACAGAATAATATTCTTCATAAGACACAGTAACGAATAAGGAGAGTGGGAGCCTTATCTTGTTGTAATTGACAGATCAACACGAGGAGTTTCAGTGAGTATAGGAAGTCTGGTGTTACTTTTTACATTCTGATTGAAAATGTAAAGTTTAGCGGTGATTGAGACTGAAGTTCTAGTTGGACAACAGGGGGCCAGAAAACGAAAGTTCGACATTAGTTTGCGGGTTTAGTATGCGAACAAACATGTATAGAGTGAATTGCGCATGCGCTTAATTTTATACTACATCCTACGCTCATCACTTTGGGACACAATTTGTATTGTTTATCGACTTGCTACCCATTCCGAAAAAAACGCATACGTGACAAGTGTAATCCATAGTTAGCATTTTTGTACTTAGTAACGTGTTCAGAGCAGTGAACCGATACAGCAATCATTTATTACAAGAAACTGCCTTCGTGGGATATAAGCTTGTGAGCATTCAGGCAATGTTATTTCATTAAAGATTACGAGTACATATTGTGTCAGGACGTGCAAAAATGCAGTAAATATTATGGATTTCTAAATGCAAAAATGTAGTAGAATTAATTACGGAAATCGATCAATATCCTTCAACATTCATTCACTGTGGTACAAATATCTCGTGAAGATGTATTTATTTACGTAAAGTATGTAAAACATGCAACCCAATAATTCCTTTCAGATCTATAATCTACGATGTGCAAATGGGTAATTAATATGCTCTACTCTCTTCTTAACATGTCTAATACTCAAATATCTACATAAATCAATGCATCATTGTTTTCAAGCAAACCTGTTGAATGACTACTGCTGATTTACACAGTTATTTGAGTTCTTGCCCTACCCAGACACACCAAGCCACATTACCCAGCTTTCACACATAGCAACAAGCAATCACTCCTCATTATGTGCACACTCGAGTTGGCAGTGTATAAGAGTGCAAGTAAACTTCTTGCTTTTTTACAGTCAAGACTCTGCGACGAATAGGAATAAAAATGAATAAAACCTGATGGATTAACACATGACCTAGAGCGCCCTCTATGAGAGAGAATCGACAGCAAATTACATTAGATTTATGCCAACTTGATCTCACTCTGGAAATCACTGGCTAGCTGATAAAAAATGAACTAGTAACAGACCCAAGCGCCTCATACACAGCCGAGGCACGCGCAATGCCAGGGGGGCCCAGCATACGCAAGTTGTCATTTCCCTAACAATGAGTGTGTTGGCTGTACTCCCATGATGGCATATCTGTCTGTACAAGGGTATATATCTACAATACCAGCATGTACGAACACACGTGGAGCATGTACGCTTCGAGTGTCATGTGTCGCGTACATCCGTGCAGTTCCATTTACATGTCTTCGACGCTCCACTTGTACGCTTCCGATTCCACTGCCTTTTTGCTCGACATTCTGAGACGCAAAGAGAATCTGATGTATAGATTGAAAACAGCGCGAACATGTGCAGTTTGCAAAGCAGATTATTCATGTGGTCTAGCTTCCAAATGTCACGCATGCATGTCGGGACAGCCAATACACTTCAGAAATCCCAGCAAATACTTTAAAAAGGTAATAAATGTGAATTACCATGTATTATATCAAGTGTGTAAACACAGAACTTTTTGTACTTCAGTAAGGAATTTTGAAGGGCATTTAGTCATTATGAGTTAAAGCTAAGCTTACAAGGATGAGTGACATGTAGGAAAAAAACACTAGTTTGAATTCTTGAATAAAAAAAGGATTAGTAATCTATGTACGTGTTACATCTAGTCTAGACATTATAAAAGACCATCAATAGATCATTAACCATGCAAACTTGGCTACCTTACTTATGTCAAGGAGCTAAATATAACAAGGAGAGGAAGCGGCTTGGCTGTGTGCTTTTCGCCTCAAAGGCGCCATCTATGGACCATAATCAGCTGAAACGGCTGTGCAGACCGAACCCATGGAGAATAGAACACTATCTGTTCTAGGGTCTCTGCCGCACCCAAATTTGGGCCAGATATGGCGGCGCTTCCTCTCCTTGTTATATTTAGCTCCTTGACTTATGTGCTTGCAATGCCATCTATTGGCACTAGATGCTGTACACCGCTGCAAAGAATGTTTTTGCCCATAACTGGAGAATACCAGTCTACATAACAAAAACTAACAGGTGTTAATTCACAAGCCCTAACTATCGTGCAAAATCAATATTTTACCTTATGAAAAGCTCTTTCTCAAAACCGCGTGAGCGATCGACGCCATCCCACCTATATCCAGGCATCAAACCAAACCTGTTCGGAGGCGGCAGAGGTCCTCTGTATGTTGGTCGTTCTGTGATGATGACAGGTCACAAACAGTTCGCATTATAATTTCTATACGGAAGCAAGAAATCAAGCGACAAACTGCACACGAGTTTTTTTATCCCTGCGTAGCCGTGCTTTAATTATAATATTACTATATACTCAGATAAATAATGAATCAATTCGCCAAAGGGACTCAATGCATGAACTACAAGGATATGCAGTTAGACGTATGTATAAAGGTTATTATAGGGTAGAGAGAAAATTGTCCTTTACAGACTGTGGTCATGCTATAAAGGGGATTTCACTGTAGAACTGCAACTTGGGGAAAAAATGTCAATTGTCCTTTATAGACAGGTGTTTATTCTATACAGGTGAACACTAACAGTAACTAGTTGGCACTAACGTGTTCGACTGCATTCATCCCAGAGTTCAATTGCAGATATTCTCCGGTGATGTAGTGCCTACTGCGATATAAACGACGATGTTTGATACGAGCTTACGAATCTTGGCTTCTCCTTGCGACGACGACTTCTTCTTTTTCAAGAAAGCCAACATCGGGTCTCCATCCCGGTCCTGGTTCTTCAGCACCTCATCCAGATCTTTGTCGTCACGGTAACGAGCGAGCGGCTTCGACATCTCGTAGAGGTCTGTCTCCAGCTGCGTTTTCTGCTGCTCCTTTTGTTTCACGCTGCAATGAACGAGCGGTTTCGCATAAACACCATCGCTTCCTTCATTCTTAAAATTTCGAGATGATTGCGATCATATAAAGCCGGAAGACTAAAAAAAACAATGATATCTCAAATACAGCCAACGATACTAAATCTCTAGTAAAATATAGTCTTACCTATTATTGAATATATTACTATTAACCAGCTTGAAAATTTAGAGTTGGAGATTTATGGCATTATTGGCCACAAAAGAGAATCGCAATTTTCATACTAATTTGAAATTCATTTAAAAATCGCAGAGATTTTGAGACAAATTTCTTTGCCAACGGAAAACATGGCGCAACGTGGTCACCGATATAATTAGAATAAACGATCGAAAAGTGAGTTTGCATATCCGAGCTGTTATGTCAACGAGCACAGAATATTAACAGACAGCGTGAATGTCACGTACCCTGTTCCCCATTCAAGGTACTTCTCTTCCATCTCTGCCTTTTTCTGCTCATCCCGCTTCTTTTCTCGTCGTTCTTCCTTCATATTTCTTCGACCTCCCGTACTCCTCTCCCGAAACACGGTCTCCGCATTCTTGCCTAGCACCTCTGGATTGCTCTGGCACAGGAAATGAGGAAGTATAATCGTGTGGCTGTGCTAGACATGTTACACTAAGATCACAGATGCTGTCTTAATTCTAGTGGAATTAAACGTGAAGGTGGTGAATTATGTTTATCCATCGTACAAAGAAAAGCGATGACACTCTTTATTACCAATTAATTAACAGAAAAGTGTCTCCTCGGTCAAACAAATTAACATAAACAATTAGTCATAACTGAATGCAAGAAAACTAATGATTGGCGTCCTTATGTTTACATTGCACTACTAGAAAAAAGTAATAAAAAACACGCTTCCACGGCCCACCTTCTCAAAGACTCTGTCCTCTCTTCGCCGAGCTTTTGTGTTCTCATCTCTCAGAGTTCTCGCATCTTGCAAGCCTGCTTTCACACCCGAGGTCATCTTATCCAGCCGCGTGGAATTTTTCACGGAAGACGACAATGCTGCGTTAGAAGCACCGGACCTTCTAGGCGGAGAAAGATCGTCATCTGATGCTCGATTTCGTTTTCTCACTGGCGATTGGTCACTGTCCGACCCATGTGCACGTCGTCTTCTTGGTGGCGATTGGTCACTGTCAGAATGTTGTCTATGCTTCCTAGGAGGTAACTGGTCACTGGTAACAGGATTACGTCGAGCCGTTCTATGAAGCGGTTTATCAGGACCAGGATCGTGTCTCTGTCTCCTGGGAGGTGATTGGTCATTACCGGAGTCATGTCTCTGTCTTCTGGGAGGTGATTGGTCACTCCCAGAATCATGTCTCTGTTTCCTGGGAGGTGATTGGTCACTGCCAGAATCATGTCTCTGTCTCCTGTGAGGTGATTGGTCACTTCCAGAATCATGTCTCTGTCTCCTGTGAGGTGATTGGTCACTTCCAGAATCATGTCTCTGCCTAATAGGTGACCCTTCGCTGTCAGAAGAATGTTTCCTTCTTTCTGGTGAGACACCGCAACTAAATTCTTGGTGTGCCGACCCCTCCGTTTTATCACCTGACAAACAACCAAGACACAATCCAAGTAAACTAACCCAAAGTCAGACTTATCGGTGTACAAAAAAAACAAATCATCCATAGCTAACGACCACAAAGTAAAAACCTCAGGCTGCATGTAACTTCCGACACACCCACTACACTGAATAATTATGGCACTAATATAAGTTAATTATATTATTATATAATTATTAGGGTTACAAGTAGGGCGACGTCATAGGCGCTGTCATGAAAAAATATTTGGAAATCAATAATTTTGAGTAATAAGGTCAATATTTTCTGCATCGGATCCATACAAAAAAATGCGGTGATGCTCAAAAGCCGTACCTATGATTTTCCAGTGAGGGTCCTCTCTATACGCCTCCGTTTTCCAGACGTGTTCCGGTCTCTCATCGATGAATGCTGCGACAGCGGGGCCCTCATCATCCTCCACCTGTTCCACACCCGTCTCTGCTGGTGCTGTCCCTAAGCTCTGCAGGTCTATGTCATCGTCTATGATGCGCATGCTAGAACGACAACAATCAGCTTAGACTCGCAAGCCCGCAGATCTGTTATCTGTATTAGTTCAATTCTCTTAATTGCCATGAGTTAGTT